ACAACCATCTGCTAATTCCAGTCCCAGGGAACCTGATGTCTTCCTCTTCTGACTTCAGTGGGCACAAGGTATACACGTGGTGCACAAATATACCTACAGGCAAAATGCTGAGATACACAAAATAACCTTTAAGAAAAAAATGTATACAACAAAGACATCTGTTCAATGATGTTCATAGCAGCACTATTTGTAATAACCAGAAACTGGAAGCAGCCTAGATGCCCCTCAGCTGAAGAATGGATGGAGAAAATGTGGTACATTTACACAATGGAGTACTACTCAGCAGAAAAAAACAATGGAATCTTGAAATTTGCAGGAAAATGGATGAAACTCGAAGAAACCATTCTGAGCGAGGTAACCCTATCACAAAAAGACAAACATGATATGTACTCACTCATATGTGGATTTTAGACATAGAGTAAGGGATTACCAGTCTACAATCCACATTGCCAGAGAAACTAGTAAACAAGGAGGACCCTAAAAGAGACAAACATTGTCCCCTGGAGAAGGGGAAAGGGTCACCACCCCCTGAGCAAATTGAGAGCATGGGAAGAGGGGGGAGGGAGCTACGAGAAAGAGAAGGGAAGAAAAGGAAGGATGCAGAGGTCATGAGGGAGCAGAAAGGTTGAGTCAGGTGTAGATTAGAAGAAAGGATATGTGATAGGTAGGGTTTTAGTTGGGGGGGGAGGGGAGGAGAAGGGAACTGGGATTGTCATGTAATTCAATCTTGTTTGTAATTCAAAAAAAGTTAAATAAAAAAATGAAGAAAAAAAAAAGAAAAGAAAAAATGTAGTCCTCTCTTTCTCTGGTACACCAGAGAGGCTAAATTTATTTTTCTTTAAATGGATTTTTGTGGCAAACTGTTTCAAGTCTATACTAAAAATAAAAACTAATGTAATAAATATTCCAGTGTGTATATGTATGTTTGTGTTATAGGCATGTGTGTGCTTGAACGTGTGATGGCCAGAGGTCAACACTGGATGTCTACCTCAATCAGTCTCTACCTTGTTTGTGTGTGTGTTTTGATCAGGGTCTCTTGCTGAACCTGGAGATCTCTAATTTGGATAGACAGGCTGGCTGGCTAGCCAGCTCCAGGGAATCCCCCTTCCTCTGCATCCCTGGGATTACAGTCACACTCTCCACTAACAGGCTGTGGTTTGTGTGGGTGCTGGAGGTCAGAACTCTGGTCCTTGTACTTTCTTGGCAAGCGCTTTGCTGGCAGAGCCATCTTCCTACCCACCCACTCTCATGAGACATTTTGACCGAATCTTTCCATGTCCACGTTTGCATCAAATTTTAGGAAGTTAGGGATGGTAAATATGAATGAGGTCTCAAGTCTTCTGTCCCAACCCCTCTCCCACCCCTGCCCCTGAAGTGCCCCCATACTGAATTAAGTGTCCACACATCCTTATATGTCTCTCGTTCTTCAGCTGCCTCATGCATAGGCAATGCCACATGTAAGTGTGAATGCATCCTTATATGTCCATCGTTCTTCAGATACCTCACACATAAGCAATGCTACAAATCATGGTTCTGCTGTTGAACTTGATACAGATGGTGACTTCTACATGACTCATCACACAGCTTGCTGTTTCTTCTCAGCATTGGCTTTGAGCTGCATCCACAATGATAACCGACTCTGCCTCAGCCGTTTATCATGGCCGTGCTGTGTGTGTTGTGTACGACTATGGCATATGACTACACCACCACGTATTTATCTCTTCTTTCCAAAGTGGGTTTGCTTTTGTGACTGTGTGCTATTCAGCTGGGCCGCAGTAAGCCTCTCTGTCAGGGTCTCCTGGCACAGATATGCAAGAGTTTCTTAGTTTTGTGGTTTCCCAAGTGAGTCTGTGACCTGCAGTGGCAGGATACCTGGTAGATTCTCAAGCCTTACCCTAGACCTCCTGTAATGATTTGGATCTGTAATGGCTCTCCCAGCTTGGGGTTTTGAATGCTGCTCCATAGCCCTAGAAACTATTTTGAGAGAGACTGGAACTGTTAGGAGGTGGGGGCTGCCTGGTAGAAGTCTGTCACTAAAGGAAGCCTTTAGAAATTTTCCCCAGTCCAACCTCCTCTCTCACAGCCATGAACTGCTCTGCTCCATGGTGATTTCTCTGCCATCAGGGATGGAACTGCTTTAAAACTCTGGGCTCAGATAAACCTCTCCTCCATTACAGTTGTCCCTGTAGCTTTGTGGGATGGAGGAACAGCTCCCTAAACCATCCTTGGGGCCTGAGAAGTCCTCTTAATCTCTACTCTGATGAAACCAGACCCTTGGCTTCAACACAGAAAAGCATTTCAGGACAATCTAGCATGAAGTAGAGGTGGCGTTTATTAAAAATAGAAAAGTGCTTAGGGAAAGATATGACACACCCAAGCGCACTGTGAGGTGGGGTGCTTCTAAAGAAGAGTCACACTGAGGTGTCCTAGTGGTGACAATGTAAAGGACTTTGGGAGCTTTTGAAAATTCCTATTACTCTCTCTATCTCTCTCTCTCTCTCTCTCTCTCTCTCTCTCTCTCTCTCCCTCTC